ACAGAGATTGAAGAGCAGGCGGGTGAGGCTGTGCTTCTGTGGAAGCCTTAGCCGGCAATTCCTGTGGGGAACAGGCAATCGGCAGACAATAGAAGGGATAGGGGCTAAGCCTCTGCTCTGATCCCTGGGCGAGCCCCTCTGTGAGACTCCTTCTCATGTCCCACGCTATGAGGCTGCACTGGGCACGGCTGAGAGGCTGTTTTCCCAGCCGTCCCCTTGTGGAAAGGGTCCCTCCCTCGCAGAAGCCCCCCTCGGGACCCCATTGGCACTTCACTTTTGAGGGAGGCCTAGGAGAACTCAGTGGAAAGTTACTTCCACATAAACGGTCAGACAGACGGATGATGAAACCCCAGGAAACCCCAGCCCCTCCCCTGCTGGGGCACCAGGCCAGAAGCCAACCTGCCTTTTATATATATATAAAAATATATATATATTTTTTGACACAGAGTCTCACTCTGTTGCCCAGGCTAGAGTGAGTGCCGTGGCATCAGCCTAGCTCACAGCAACCTCAATCTCCTGGGCTCAAGCAATCCTCCTGCCTCAGCCTCCCGAGTAGCTGGGACTACAGGCATGCACCACCATGCCCAGATAATTTTTTTTCTATACATTTTTAGTTGGCCAATTAATTTCTTTTATTTTAGTAGAGACAGGGTCTGGCTCTTGCTCAGGCTGGTTTCGAACTCCTGACCTTGAGCGATCCTCCAGCCTCAGCCTCCAAGAGTGCTAGGATTACAGTCGTAAGCAACTGCGCCCAGCCTTCATTTCTACATTTATAGATGGGACTCTGGCTGCTCTATCACGCACGCCCTTACAGGCCAGAATGAGCTAGCAGATGCAAGGTAATGGCAACATGAAAAAACCAAGGACCTGTACAAATATAACACTTTTAGAGTGGTCCAGTCTGGCCACAGTGTCTCTACTTCTAGAAACCCCATACATGAATATTCAGACACACACACATACATATCGCTATATGATCCCGGGAGCAGCTTCCCTACCTCACTGAAAATATGACTCAATTCACCAAAATGTAATGTTGTGCTACATTCCACAGGAAAAAACGCAAGCCACAGCTGCTCTGAGTCAGGCTGGCTCTCAGCTGGGCCCAGGTGTGCTTCAGCAGCATTCTAGAACAAGGCCTGCTGCAGTCAATTACATTTAGGATTATGAGAGCACTAGACTTGAAAATAACGTCCTCCTGCCCCTTTAAGAACACAAGTTCCCTCACTTGCAGATAAGCAGGAAGTCCCCCCACTCTGTCTGGGCGGCTTGGTGGTGTGTTTCACTTCCTTTCAAAGGTGTTTTCTTACTAAAGAAACCCCAGGCCCAGGGTCACATTCTGTTCCTTTCAAAGGCGTACTCAACCGCCTTTGTGTTGCTTTTGGGAAATGTTTCTTGAGCAGGAAAATAGAAAAATAATATCTTTTTAAATAAATAAAAGATGAAAGTAAAGCATAACACTTAAAATATTTTAAAATATAAAAGTAATACATGGTTCTAGTAAAAATGTAAATGGTAGAACATTCTCCATTCCCTTTCCCCAGAGGTAAGCTCTGTTAATAGTTCTTAAAATTCCCTTCTGGAAATTGTCTCTGTACACCTCGACTTCTTTTTAATCACACAAAAGGAATCATACATATTCATGAGGGTTCTGTTTTTTCCACTTAAGAGTCTACTTTGGACATCCTTCCATAGCGTCATGAATAAATCTGCCTCAATCTTTCTATGGCCTGCACAGTTTTCCATTGTTTGGGTATTCTATCATGTATTTAATCTCCTAATTAATATACACTTAGGTCGACTCTAGCTTTTGCTCTCATGTACAATGGTGTGGGAGAAAAGATGTAGACGCTTCTGTATGTGTATGTACGTGTATATACATATCTTTGTGTAAGTGTCCAAGTATTGCTGTAGAAAAACAGTCCTGACACTGGAACTGCTGGGTTAAACTGGAAATACTGTTTTAATTGTGAGAAGCCACTGGTACCTCTGGAAAGTCTCTAGCAATTGACACTTCCAACAAGGGCATATGAGAGCTGCTTTCACTTTTCCTTCCCAGCATTCTGGCCAACTAGAGGCATTACTCAACCTTTTCATTTTTGTTAGTCTGAAAGGAGCAGAGAAGTCCTCATTGTTTGATTTGCATTTGAAAGTCCACTATACAGGGGCATCTTCCTGCTCGGATCCTGGCTCAGTGAGGAGGGTCTCAGAGGCCAGACTTTGGAACCAGACAGAGCTGGATACAGTCCCAGCTCAGCCGCTTGCCAACTGTGAGCTCTGGGGCCTCAGTTTTTCCATCTGTGAAATGAGTATCCTAAAACCAAGTTCATGGGGGTTACTGAGAAGATGCAATAAAGCAATACAAAATGTGTGTCACTGCAAATGTTAGCGTGTTTGTCATCCAAGCAAAATATATACACACACATAGAGTCATGCATCACTTAACAGTGGGGATATGTTCTAGGCAATTTTGCCATTGTGTGAACATCACAGGGTGTACTTAAACAAACCTGGATGGCATAGCCTACTGCACACCTAGGCTACGTAGTATGTAGCCTATTGCTCCTAGGCTACAAACCTATGTAGTGTGTTACTGTACCGAACCCTGTGGGCAATTGTAACATAATGCTAAGTATTTGTATTTTTAAACATACCTAGGCAGGGCGCGGTGGCTCACATCTGTAATCCTAGCACTCTGGGAGGCTGAGGCAGGTAGATCGTTTGAACTCAGGAGTTCAAGATCAGCCTGAGCAAGAGCAAGACCCCATCTATACTAAAATAATAGAAAGAAATTAGCTGGACAACTAAAAATACATTGAAAAAATTAGCCGGGCATGGTGGCACATGCCTGTAGTCCCAGCTACTCGGGAGGCTGAGGCAGGAGGATCGCTTGAGCCCAGGCGTTTGAGGTTGCTGTGAGCTAGGCTGACGCCACAGCACTCACTCTAGCCTGGGCAACAGAGTGAGACTCTGTCTCAGGAACAAAAACAACAACCATACCTAAACATAGAAAAGGTACAGTAAAAATATGGCATTCTAATCTATGGGACTGCCATCTTCTATGCAGTCTATCATTGACTGAAATGTTATGTGGCACATGGCTACACACACACACACACACACACACACACACACACACACTTTTTTCTACTAACCTGTTCAATGGCTGATTAACAGTTTCTATAGTATCTGAGATCTCACCTTCTCCTTACTTCCTGGCCTTGCTTAAGGGAGGAAAATACAAATAAAGTGCTGAAAAACACAGCTGTCGGCCGGGCGCGGTGGCTCACGCCTGTAATCCTAGCACTCTGGGAGGCCGAGGCGGGCGGATTGCTCGAGGTCAGGAGTTCGAAACCAACCTGAGCAAGAGTGAGACCCGGTCTCTACTATAAATAGAAAGAAATTAATTGGCCAACTAATATATAAAGAAAATTGAGCTGGGCATGGTGGCGCATGCCTGTAGTCCCAGCTACTCGGGAGGCTGAGGCAGGAGGATTGTTTGAGCCCAGGAGTGTGAGGTTGCTGTGAGCTAGGCTGATGCCATTGCACTCACTCTAGCCTGGGCAACAAAGCGAGACTCTGTCTCAAAAAAAAAAAAAAAAAAAACAACACACAGCTGTCACCTTAAATGGTTGGTCTTACTAGCTGAGCCCCAGTTCCCTGCTCTGTAAAATGGGCCTTACGCTGCACCTACCCAGCCAGCTTGTGGGGATGTAAAGCACCCAGGGTTGTGCCTGGCCCTGGCAAACACAGTAGATGGCACTTGTTGTTGTTCATTTTAGCCAGGGATCCCCTACTCTGCACTTCCCCCAGCAGGATGTGAGGAAAGTAGAGTCCCCTCAACTAACAGATGTTTATCAAACACCTACTATGGGCCAGGCTAGTCGAAGACCTGTTGGGCCTATAAACACTGCAGTGGGGGCATGGAGGGAGGGCATCCTTGACTTTCTGCTCCACTCTTTGAGATGCAACTAGATCCTGCTCTGCCCGGCAAGCAGGTTGAGCGCCCAGCCCTTGCTGTTTTTTAATCGCTCCAGTGGAGACCAGCCCCATTCTCTAGCATTTCATAGGAAAAGACCCTCTTGGAGCAGGGGGAGTTATAATGAGTCGACTTTGTGAAAAAAAAAGTACCATTTCTTTTCAAGTTTCAGATATTTATTAATCAGTATAATGCCCAACACAATAAAGCAACATGATTGCATGCATTTCGAGGAGATGCAATAATTGCATGCATTATTTCCTGGTTAAGTGGAAAATTGTGTGCATGGCTTTTAGAAGACCTTCATTCTAAGCAGCTGTATAGTGAAACATTTCATTTAGAAGTCAGGGCCTTCTTTCCTCAGTTTTCCATAATCAACATTCACTGAGTAGAACTTGTATCAATTTTGTATTTTGCGTTGACTTGTATTTTCACTTTGTTCCAGGATCCTGGGTTCTTCTTTCTGTACCAGCTAACATCTGGATTGAGCAATGCCAGGTGCAAGACATACGGTGCCTTTCCGGTATCTCCTGCTCCAATAGACACGAAAAGGGAGACCAAGCTCAGATGCTTCTAGGCCTGAGGGAGGATCTGGCAGACAATGTTTACGGCAGAGGCCTCAGGTCCAAAAGGAGAGAAGAACAAACCTGCCTGTCAGGCCCTGGACTAGGCAGTCTTTGTCCAAAATACCATTTTCTGAATGTTTTTGTCATGTTTTTTCTTTTTTCTTTCTTTCTTTTTTTTTTTTTTTTTTTTTTTGAGACAGAGTCTCACTCTGTTGCCTGGGCTAGAGTGCTGTGGCATCAGCCTAGCTCACAGCAACCTCAACTCCTGGGCTCAAGCGATCCTCCTGCCTCAGCCTCCCGAGTAGCTGGGACTACAGGCATGCACCACCATGCCTAGCTCATTTTTTCTATATATTTTTAGTTGGCCAATTAATTTCTTTCTATTTATAGTAGAGATGGGGTTCGCTCTTGCTCAGGCTGGTTTCGCACTCCTGACCTTGAGTGATCCTCCCGCCTCAGCCTCTCAGAGTGCTAGGATTACAGGCATGAGCCACCGCGCCCGGCCTATGTTTTTTCTTTTTACATGTTCTCCTTTGGAAGCAGGGTGCGCTCTGACTACTGTGGTGTTGCTGAGATGACAGCTAAGTTACTTATCAGTGGGGTAAGTGCTGATGTCGTCTCTCTGTGTCCTTCAGTACCACACAGAATCTCACGTGGGTCTCACCTCCACTGAGGCTACGATTATTAATCACCCCATAGCTGATCCCGTGGCTCTTTGTGAAGTCAGCTGAAATAGCCACATCAGGTAGGAATAGAGACACATTAAAGAATACGTCTCAAAAAATAGTAGCTTTACAATGAACAAACGTGGCAGATAGTACGTTAATCAAGTGATCGAAGGTAACATCCCCAGTGATGGCACAAACCAGCATCACGTGCCCCCTGAGGTGACACACGGAGAAGGTCGCAGCATCCCTTGTTCAGTATTCCTGCCAAAAAGGCAGAGCCCAAATTTAATCATGAGGAAACATCAGTCAGACCTATATCAAGGGAAATTCCACAAAACAATTGGCTTGCCTTCTTCAAAAATATTAGTGTCATGGGATGCCAAGAGTGGTCGAGAAAGTTCTAAATTAAAGGACACTAATGGGACATGACAACTAAATGCCATGCATGATTCTCAGTTGGAACCTTAACTGGGAAAAAACTGTTATAAGAATATTATCAGGCTAATAGATAAGACTTGAATAAGGTCTGTAGATAAGATGACAGTATTGTAGCAATGTGACATTTCCTGGTACTGATAATTGTACTGTGGCTACATTGGAGCATGACCTTATTCTTAGGAAATGTACGCTTAGCATTTGAGGGTGAAAAGGTGTTTTATTCACAACTTACTCTCAGATGATTTAGAAAAAAATAGGTAAGTAGGTAGGTAGAATGATAGAAAGATAGAATAACAAAACAAATGTGACAAATTACTACCCACCGGTGAATCCAGGTGAAGGGTATATAGGAGTTCTTCACTGTATTTTTGTAGCTTTTCTGTAAGTTTAAAATTATTCTAAGTGAAAATTTTGCAGCATTCTGGTGACTCCAACCGTGGTGCATGTTACAAACTGGGTAATAAACAGGTCCTAACAATAAAGGAATCAAAACATTAAAGTTGCAGAAATGTAAATTCCAAGGCAAACAACATCCTGACATAGCACGTTTTCCCTTCTATTCTTTCGTTTCCATTTCCAAGCCCATCTTCCTCTCCTGGCGGTTTTAGCATTCGTGTACACAGAATGACAATTTATTTTGTTTTCAAATTCCTCTTAGTACAAAATTTAAATCTCTTTCATCCAACTTATTTGCATAAGGTACCCAGTAGGTGCTAAGCAATGACCCATGACCCACTCATTGCTCATTGGTTCTTGTTCTCGTTGGAAGTGAAGGCCAGAGACAGCTGTACCCTATAGTGTCCTCTCTCTGTCCTCGGCAGAGGAGTCAGGAAGACTGGGAGGAAGGAAGAGAGAGAAAAATTTTTATTAACATGCCTCCTGATGTGTGCGCACTTGGACTCTACCAGGCCAACCAAATGTCTTATGTCCCATCCGTGCCCCCTGAGCCCCTGCCCCAGTCATCCCCCCTCAGCGGGGGGCCTTCTAGCCTTCCAGCTGCTCAGACCAAAATCTTTGCTGTCAGCCTCCACTCCTCACTTTCTCTCCCCCTCCACATCCTATAGATCAGCGAATCCTATTGGCTTTACTTTTCTTTTTTAGTTCAAAATATTAATTAAGGGGGTACAAGTGTCTTTTTACATGGATACCTTGTTCATTGCTGAAGTCAGGGCTTTTGGTGGGCCTGTCACCAGAATAGTGCTCATTGTACCCAATAGGTATGTTTTTATCCCACACCCTGCCTCCCACCCTCCCCCGTTCTTGGTTTCTCATGTCTATCTATCTATCTATCTATCTATCTATCTATCTATCTATCTATCTATTTATTTATTTATTTATTTAGAGACAGAGTCTCACTTTGTTGCCCAGGCTAGAGTGAGTGCAATGGCATCAGCCTAGCTCATAGCAACCTCAAACTCTTGGGCTCAAGCAATCCTGCTGCCTCAGCTTCCTGAGTAGCTGGGACTACAGGCGTGCGCCACCATGCCCGGCTGATTTTTTTCTATATATATATTAGTTGGCCAATTAATTTCTTTCTATTTATAGTAGAGATGGAGTCTCGCTCTTGCTCAGGCTGGTTTCGAACTCCTGACCTCGAGCAATCCACCCGCCTCGGTCTCCCAGAGTGCTAGGATGACAGGCGTGAGCCATCTCATGTCCTTTATGTCGCTTTGTGCCTGTGTGTCCCCATCATTTAGCTCTCACTTATTGGTGAGAACATAGGGTGCTTGGTTTTCCATTCCTGAGATACTTCACTTAGGATAACTGTCTCCAGTTCCACCCAAGTTGCTACAAACCTGTTGGCTCTACCTTCAAAATACATCCAGTATCTACCACTCATCATCACCCCGCTGTCCTGTCCTGGTCCCTCCTCCTCCTGAATTGCTGCATAGGCCTCCATAGCAGTCTCCCTGCTCCCAGTCTATTCTCAGCCCAGCAGCCACACTGATCCTTTTCACACCTACATCAGATCATGGGACTTCTCTTATTGCAAACTCCCAGTGGCTTCCTAACTCATGCAAAAACAGAAGGCCAAGCTTCTTAAAACGGCCTAGAAAGTCCTTCATGATTAGCACCACCCATCCCACACTCCTATAAGGTCATTTTACCTCTTTGGCCTCTATGGATCATTGTTGCTGTCTTCCTGCTTCATATGTGGTGGGTGTGGTCCCTGCTCAGGGCCTTGCTAGTGCCTGCGACCTCTCCCTGGAACAGCCTCCCCAGCCATCTGCATGGCAGCCTTCCTCATTCCTTCAAAGCCTTGCCCCAGGCCGGGCGCGGTGGCTCACGCCTGTAATCCTAGCACTCTGGGAAGATCGCTTGAGTGGGCAGATCGCTGGAGGTCAGGAGTTCGAAACCAGCCTGAGCAAGAGCAAGACCCCATCTCTACTAAAAATAAAAAGAAATTAATTGGCCAACTAAAATATAGAAAAAATTAGCGGGGCATGGTGGTGCATGCCTGTAGTCCCAGCTACTCGGCGAGGCCCTAGGCCAGAGGATTGCTTGAGCCCAGGAGTTTGAGGTTGCTGTGAGCTAGGCTGATGCCACGGCACTCTAGCTGGGCAACAGAGTGAGACTTGTCTCAAAAAAAAAAAAAAAAAAAAAATCAAAGCCTTGCCCCAGATGGAGCTTTGTCAGTGAAGCCTCCCTGGACCACCCCTCCCACATATAGACCCCTATTGGTTCTCCTTGCCCCACTCTATTTTCCCATGTTCATCTTCTAGCGTACTATGCATGTTACTCATCTTTACGAACCTGTATTATCGCTCTCCCTGCCCCACCAGAATATAAACTCATTGAGAGAAGTTCTGTTTACAGAGAAATCCTTGGCTCCTAGAATGCTGCCTGCCACAAAGTAGTAGCTCAATAAATATTTGTTGAACAAAAGGAGATTATTTTAAAAATTAAGCATAGGAGATCAATGTGGCTGCATTTTTTTTTTAACAAATTCTATACAAAATAAGTAGGTCCAGCAGGGATCCTTTAACAAAATTTTCAACATTGCATCTTTCAACAAAGGTATTTATTCTGGGTTTTGAAGTCTGTATTCAAGTCTCCATTTAGCTTTGTCATTCCTGAGCCTCAGTTTCCTTCTAGCAAAATTAAACATAATAGGATTTGACTTGAAGGATTTTAATGGAGGATTAAATTAGATAATACACCCAGCACTGGTTTAATAAATGAGGATACAAGTTTTTTCCCACTTTTTCATTTTATAAATCTGCCCATAATTAAGCTAAACTTCACAAATTAAGGACACTTTCCCCCAGGACTGCCCTCACTTCAGACACCACTCTCAAGTGCAAGGGTGCCCAGGGCCACTCTCCTTTCTGCCCAACTAAAAATTTGAGGGTTCCCATGACACCCTCCTGCTCAACAATTTGCTAGAATGACCCCCAGAACTCCAGAAAGTGCCATGATCATACTTACAGTGTTTTATTTTATTTTTATTTATTTTTTTAGAGACAGGGTCTCGCTCTGTCACCCAGGTTAGAGTGTAGTGGTGCAATCATAACTTATTGTAACCTCTAACTCCTGGGCTCAAGTGATCCTTCTGCCTCAGCCTCCCAAATAGCTGGGGCTACAGGCATGCGCCACCACACCTGGCTAACTTTTTTATTTTTTGTAGAGATGGGGTCTCATTATGTTGCCCAGGCTGGTCTTGAACTCCTGGCCTCAAGTGACCCTCTCACCTCGGCCTCCCAAAGTGCTGGGATTACAGGCGTGCACCACCATGCCTGGCCATACTTACAGTTTTGTTACAGCAAAAGGATACAAAGCAGAATCCGCCACAAGAAGAAATGCACAGGGCCAAGTCTGGAAGGGTTCCAAGTGCAAGGCTTCTGTTTTTCTTAGGGAAGTATTATTTTCCCAGCATCAAAGTGTGACCATACTCAAAAAGTACTGTCCACCAAGGAAGCTCATTTGTGCTTCAGTGTCCAGAGTTGTTATTGAGGCCTCATTACGCAGGCATGATTGATAGAATCACTGGCCATGTGGTTCAATCTCTAGCTCCCCTTCCCTTTCCAGAGGTTGGGCTGATATCACACAGCCCCAGCTCTCTAATCACATAGTTGTCTTTCTGGCATGGCCAGCCCGCCATATCCTGAGTCATGTCATTAGCACAAACTGTCCAACATGAGCCAACTCATTATCATAAACAATCAAGCATGGTCCATGGGGCCCACCATGTATAACAAAGATGCTGCAATCACTTAAGAAATTCCAAGAGCTGAGAGGCTACCTCCCAGGAGCCAGGGACAAAAGCCAGCCACATTCTCTATTACTCAAAACCAAAGACAGTATCCTAGCTGTAAAAGTTAGACATTTATGCAAACATAGCTATAGAGTACCAAACAGAAAATTCAAACATTAAAATACCTCCTCCTGGCTCAAACTAAAATTGTTTCCTTGTCTGTATAGAGATAGAAAAATAGATGGAAAAATGTAAGTGCAAATGTATGCTCATTCTTTGTGCCAAGGACCATAAGTAGTAAAAAAACAAAAAATGTCAGGGAAGCCATTTTCATGAATGAGTAAATTTGGGTCTTTGGAAGCCAAGCGTGTAATTTCACACCTGAGAAACGGATGCTTGTATGACAAAAACCAACTAACAACATACACCACCATCACTACCACTGCCACTACTGAAAGAAAACCAGGTGTACCATTGTTTGCTTAGCACCAGGAACAATTCTAGTGTCCATAAACCATCCTACATTGAGGTAAAATATTGCCCTGAGATGACTGAGTTTCATAAACAATCGAATTGGCTCCTTCTCATCCTAGATATACACTCTTCCTCCTGATGGATTCTGTGAGCTCTAGCACCTTAAATCATGCCTAAAGGACTATGGGTCCACAGTTGAAAGCAAGGAGCTTTGGTTTGTGGTCTTGGCTCAGCTAACCAGCTGAATACCCTTGGGCAGGTCGCTTAACCTCTCTGTGCTGAGTTTCATCCTCTGCAAAATACAGATACCAATACTGGCCTCTTTATCTCCATAAAGGTATTTTAAGGATAAAGTGACACAGAAGTATGAGAAAATGTTTTGACAAAGTTCACAAACACTAGATAAGTCTGAGTTGGGTTACGTAAGTAATTACTAAGCGCCAAAATGTAAGGTGACACCCATAAGCTGGTCTTTTATTTCTTTTTCCCCCAACTGTTGTCCAATTTGCTGGTTCCTCTGAGCTGGTGCATAAACCCTTTTAGGTAAACTGCTGGTATCAACTGTGAAATTTAGGCCATGCAGGGAACAGGCAGAGGTAAATGGTAAATTAAATTTCAAATGCAGAGTTATTCAGTGATTTATCAGGTTCATTGATAGCCAAGCCATCTCTTCCATTTTTCTCTCAGAAACTCTCTTGGTGACTTTCTCTAGCTTAAGAGACTATTCCCTTAGTCTGGGGTCCGCAGACACACAATAGATCTATGGAGAGAATCCAGGGAACTTAGAAAGAAAAAAAAATCACATCTTGATTTTCATTAAATTCTAACTAAACATTAGCATTTCCTTCAAGTATGTATGTAGTCAAGGAACCTCTGTAATCTGAGCAGGTCCTGTGCTTGTACCAACAATAGAAATCACAGTAGTTTTGTATCTGTTAACGTTGTGTAGATATCAAATGCTGATTACTATTTTGAATTTATGGTAGATGGGAGACTGACTACTAGATTGTGTTATTTAATACATAAAGAAGCACTTATGTTACCACATCACAATTTTTAAAAAACTTTGGTAACTGTATGTAAACATAACTGTTTTCATTTGTGATGCCAGGATTTTTACTTTATATACTTACATAATTCTGAGAAAGAGTCTAAAGCCTTCATCA